TGTTCTGCTAGGTAAATACATCTCAGAGACTTCCCTTCTTCTGAGCTACGGACTGAGGGTCCGTTCTGCCAGCCTCAAGCGCGCCCGACAGTCGAAGCCGGGCTCTGCGTGTGAGAAACTCACTGCGAAGAGTTTCTAGAGGTTATGAGCCCCGAGAGGCTTTGACTTTGTCATTGTCAGCTCTCGATCTTCCCTCGTCTCTCATTTCGGTTACCGGTGTATGCCGCCGCGTCGTGCTAGTCCACAACGCCCCTGTAAAGACGCTTCGCACGTATTCGACAAGGACGACGTTCTTGATCGCTGGTACAATCCGGACGCGTCTGACAGAACTTTCTGGGTTCCCTGCGAAGATCAACCTTGCGCTAATCGAGAAAATCGTCCTCTTGGCCAGTGTGACGAGCCTTAGGCCGCTCACATTGATCAGCCGCAACTCACGCTCATTGCCAATCACGGTAACACCCCCTCTTCCTCGACTGTTGTCCCCCCAAACACCCCACCTTCTGGCAATCCACCTGTCTCCCGGTCCACTATGCCAAGTGTGGCTGACACAATCCACAAGGCGTTTGGATCTGTACCTACGCTCAAGGCAGACGGCACGAACTATCGCACATGGATTCAGCGCGTCAACTTCGCCGCACTCGGATGCGCGTGCAAAGCGCTGTTAACTGCAGCGCCCATTCTGTCCGACAAGGAGGAAGAAGCGAACGCGTTGCTGGCAGCCATTGCGGGTAAGCTGCCCGATTCCATCTTCATGAACATCTCGGGCACTGCGAAGGTTCCCAACAACATCATCGATGCTATGAAGACCCACTTTGGGCAGACCACTGCCGTGTCCGAGGCAAGCGCCCAGAAGCGCCTGTTCTCGTTGCATTGCGATAACGAGAAGAAGATGCAGGAGCATCTGGATCATCTTCTCACGCTCAAAGAGGAGATCGCGGAGGCCGGAATTACCATCGAGGATAAGACTTTCACGGACGCCGTTATCGCCTCCGTACCAGCCTCGTACATGTCTATCGTTCAGGCATACGAGTCTTCCATTCATGTCTACAATGCCACTAATCCTGCGACTAAGCGGGTGGTCAAGTCGACCGAGCTTCTCCCGCTATTGCGTGCGGAAGCGCAGTCCCGCATGAGCATCGCACAGTCGAAGCCGAAAGAGGAAGTTGCAGCAGCGATTGACTCTCGTGGCAGGCGCGGCAAGGGCAGAGGCCGCGGCGGCGCTAAGACCGGCAGCGGTGCTGGTTCGAGGCAAGGACAAGTCACTACGGACGCAAATATTACTTGCTTCAAGTGCTTAGGGAAAGGGCACCGGGCCAATGTTTGCCCGTCAAAGCAGCAGGTCAAGAAGACCGGTGACAGCGCGAATGTCGCGCAAGGAGCTTCTTCATCCTCTGGAGACAGCAGGGGCACATCTTCGGGCACCGCCAAACCTCCCGCAACAATCGCAGCTAAGATTGTTGAGATCGAGGAGGGCTGGATGACCTCCAACGAAGGCTTGATGGCTGACCAGAGCATTGACGAAGGCCTCACGACCGCGTACAACACCATGGTCGATGTCTACGACTCCGGTGCAACGAACCACATGACACCTTACCGCCATCTCATGTTCAACTACCGCGATATCCCTGAGCGGATGGTGCTCGCTGCGAGAAAGACTTCGTTCGCTGCTCGCGGCATTGGTGATATGAGAATTGTGGCTCCTCTTGGTGACACACGGGTGCGCATCTTGCTGAAGAATGTGCTATACGCTCCAGCTATGCACGCAACCCTGGTCTCGCTTGGTCGTTTTGATGACGCCAAGCTGTACTCGATCATTGGCGGAGGCTATTGTCATGTTGTACGAGCTAACGGCGCCACCGTTTGCTCAATCCCGAAGGTCCGCGGTCTCTATCGTGTTTACCACGAAGAGGCTACACTCGCCGCGTCTGTGCTTGCACCCACGTCTCCGAAGCTGTCCCTCTTCCAGCTCCATCAGTATCTTGGGCATGCGTCCTATGGCTACCTGAAGAAGATGATCACTGGTGGCATGGTCCAAGGACTCACCTTAGATCCAGAGCGAATGGACAAAGAAGAGTGCGCCGTGTGTATGCGCGCGAAAGCAGTGAGGAAGCCAATCGCATCGCAACGCTCTTCTCCACGTGCCGAGAACTTCGGTGACGTTCTTCACATGGACGTCTGGGGTCCTGCACCAGTGCAGACAGTTAGCCACTGTCGCTACTCCCTTGTTCTTCTTGACGACGCTACACTCTGGCTCGAGGAGCCGCTCCTTCGCTCTAAGGATGAGGCATTTGCAAGATACGTTGGCTATGAGGCGCGCCTGTACACCCAGCACGGAGTGACAATCAAGGTCGCGCACTCCGACCGTGGTGGCGAGTTTCTCAGCCAAGACTTTCTCGACCATCTTGCGCGTCAGGGCACAGTGCAGAAACTCACGGTGCATGATACATCGGAGCATAACGGCGCCGCGGAGCGAACTCACCGCACGATCCTGAATATGGTTCGCGCACTTCTGATCTCATCTGGGCTGCCTCGCACACTCTGGGGCGAGGCTATGCAGCATGCCGTTTGGCTGTACAACCGCACACCGCATGCCGGTATCGCTTATCGGACGCCGTACGAGCTGCGCTTTGGGAAGGCTGCCGACCTCTCGTCTTTGAGGCCTTTTGGCTCCGTTTGCTTTGTCAAGCTCAAGGACGTGAGCAAGCTCGACGCAAAAGCTGTTGAATGCCGCTGGCTTGGCTACGACTCAACCTCTAACGGTCTCTGCGTCTACTGGCCTTTGCAGCGCAAAATCTCGGTCGAACGCGATGTTGTCTTCTCGTCTCAGGAGATTCCACTCCTTGAGGGGGAGGATTACACTCTGGACGAGCTGCAGGATGGTGACTCGGCCAAGGAGCAGAACTCCAACGACGCTCAGCCTGTTCCAAGCCCACGCGATGATATTTGCGACGTTCCCAATGAGCCACCGCCACCGCGCCGCTCTGCACGCCTTCGCGCTCGCTATAGCGATTCTGCGATGACTCCGGACGAAGTGGACGACGACGTCTTCGTTCTGGAGACCACACTCGAAGCGGCGCACTTGGAGATGCAAGGAATCGACCCTCAGACGCATCAGCAAGCTCTCCGGAGCCCGAACGCAGCTGATTGGCAAGCCGCCATGGACGACGAGATTCAACGTCTCGAGTCGCGCAACTCCTGGGTGTACGCTGACCCACCAGATGGAGCCAACATTATCGGCTCGCGCTGGGTGTACCGGACAAAGCGCGATGCAAAGAACGCAGTGAAGAGCTACCGTGCCCGGCTTGTCGGACAAGGCTTCACACAAATCGAGGGTGTCGACTTCTATGCAGACAACACATTTGCGCCTGTTGCCAAGTTGGATTCGCAACGAGCGAACGCAGCGCTCGCGGCGCGGCGCGGCTATGTCATAGGGCAGAAGGACATCAGGTCTGCTTACCTGTATGGACTACTCAAGAACGACGAAGTTATCTTTATGCGTCCTCCACCAGGTGTTCTTCTCAAAGGCTTAAAGCCTGGCCAAATACTTCGTCTTAAGGTCGCCATCTACGGGCTCAAGCAGGCGGGCCGACGCTGGGCTCTCGTTCTGCGCGGCATTATGGCTGACGCCGGTCTCACACGCTCTGAACATGATCACGCCGTCTTCTTCCACCATCTGCCTGGAGATCATGTTGCAATTATCTCCTCGCACGTCGACGACCTCACCCTCATTGCGCCGGACCAGAGAGTACTGCAGCAGATGAGCAGCAAGATCGACGCACGCGTTCAGGCAATGCCACTCGAAGAGCTTCATTGGCTCTTGGGTATGGAGATCTCGAGAGATCTCGAGAAGCATACGGTTTCGTTCTCGCAAGGCGCGTATATTGATCAGATCCTCAGTCGTTACAACTTCGAGGACCTGAAACCGCTTGCTCTCCCTATGGACCCGCACTTGCAGCTGTCCAAAGAGGACTGTCCATCGACACCGGCCGAAGTCGCAACCATGCGCCACAAGCCCTATCGCCAGGCTCTCGGCGCCCTCATGTACGCCGCAGTCGCAACTCGACCTGATATTGCATACGCAGTCTCGCAACTCGCGCGCTATGCTGCAAACCCCGGCTTGAAGCACTGGAATGCGCTTCGGCGCGTGTACGCTTATCTGAAGGGCACACGCAATCTCGCGCTCACACTCAGCGGCGATGACACGGAGCCCTTGATGGGCTATTCGGACGCAGACGGGATGTCGACCGAGGGCCGTCAGGCTGTCTCGGGCTACGCGTTCCTCATTGGCGGCGCAATCGCCTGGTCTTCGAAGTGCCAAGACATCGTCGCGCAGTCGACCTCAGAGGCTGATACGTTGCGCTCTCGCATGCCG